AGCCTGTAGGTGAATACCCAGTTATTGGAGACAAGCACATTTGGGGATCCTCAGCATAAAGCTTCTTTTTACCAAACAACCAAACAAAAAACAAAAACAAAAAAACCACATTTGTAATACAATGAACTTCTTGCGCTGGAATTAAATTGAAGTAGCTGCAATCCCCCATCTGCTCAGTTGATTTAGAGTAGTTGGGTTGTCATTATAAATAGAGTTTAAATCTAGTTGCCTTAAAAAATTAAGCCAATCTGGTTATTAAAATGTCTGATGTAGTCAATTAATATCATGAGAACTGAGATCAGTGTGTCTACTCAATGCCAGTCCCATGGGAGTTTTGCCAATGTATGCAATGGGAGCAGAATCAGGGCTATTTAGCAATGCATTTTAACTAAATTGCTTATCAGCTTGATTTTGATGGAGGAAATTGCTTGTTTGGAGATTGTATTTGGTGTATATTTCCAGTATGACTACATATTCAGAAATTACTAACATAAATTGATTCTTGTTGTTAATTAACATGTTATGAACAAAGGGAATGAAATGAATGCTTTAGAAGGTTTTAATCTTTATAATATACAGTGCTGTTTGGCAGGTCAGTGTCATCCAAAGGGACTTTTTGATTAACAGGTAGTTGGAAGGATTTGTTCATATGCAAATTACTTGTTTATAGAATTTAAGTTCCGGGGGAGGGGAGAGAAGAGAAGGAGAGCTGATACAATCTGAATTTTTAACGGTTTTTGATGTATTGGTTGCAGTGTTGCTGCAGCAGACAGAGTTGGTCCCAAGATACGAAAACCTTGTGAGTGAAGTAATATCTGCTATTGGACCAACTTCAATTGGTGAGAGAGACAAGCTTTCAAGCTTCAGAGACAAGTGGAGCTCAAAAGCTTGTCACTCTCACCAGCAGAAGCTGGTCCAATAAAAGATATTACCTCACCCACGTTGTGTCTCTCTCGATTTATTTGGTAATTTTTTCTTTTTGGCCGAGTGACTAATCATGGTATGATAATGATACTAAAGCCTAAGTCATTCCCACCATGGCCTCTCTCTGTCCATTCTTTTACCTCATTGGAAAGGTGGATTAATCAAGGCCCTACTTAGTAGAGCTGGTCATAAAAAAAATTGAATCTCGGTGTTTTTACTGTGGAAAAGGAACATTTTTCGGCAACAATTTTCACAGAAAGAATTTCCCATTTTTCAACCAGCTCTTCTTAGTAACAGTAGCTCATTCCACACTATGGTAGTTAGCAAAGTTGGAAGTTCGGCCTCAACCTATGTTGAAACCGTTTTTTTGTTGTTGTTGTTGTTTTTTAAACATACTATTTGGGACTAGCCCTGGAGCAATTTGAGCAGTTGTGGGAGGAGGATAGTCTGTGTGTGTGCAGGGCTATTGGAACAGGCACCAGTTGGAAGCACTGGTACAGGTGAGGGGGTTTCAAGCAAATAGTACAAAGAGGGTGACCAGATGTCCCGATACTAGGGGCTTTGTCTTATATAGGCAATTATACACCCCACCCCGCCCCCCAAAAAAAGTAGTCCCAATTTTTCACACTTGCTGTCTGGTCACGCTAAGTACAAATGTTCCTCTGGATCAGAGTGTATTATAGGAAAGAGAGATTCATTATAGAACAGTGGATAAATTAACTAGTCAGCCAATTTCCCATCAGATCAAGCCTGTTAATTCACACATGCATAGATGCCCACTAATCACCTAACAATTTGAGCCCACACGTTTGGCATGGACTGTAGAGCCCCATTCCAGCATTATGATTTCCCTTCACTCCACCTACTAGTCTTGTTCCTACAAATTCTGTCTCTGGAATGGGAGCTGAGTGTTTTCTCACGGTTTCTGCAAGTTGTCCTCAATGGGGATTGCACTTACAAAAGAAAGATGAAGTTGGTCTCTTACCTTTACTTTACTCAGTCCAGCCAGTCTTACAGTTTGGTTCATTAGATCAACAAAGCTTACCTAGGTAACTGAGGGACTTACTATACAAGAAAATCCCATCTAAAGCAGATTTCATGACCTATTTCCTCACAAATTCACTGATTGACTTTGGCTGCTGGAGTGAATGCTAGTAAATAAAATCAGAATGTATGCTGCTGAGCTTAAAAGTGTCAACAAGGGCACAGTCCCTATGGCTAAGATGTTATAAAAATTCAGTAACATCACAAGCTGATGACTAATGAGCCTAGACCCTCTGTTTGCAGTTTAGTGAAAACACTCATTAATTCTTTACAAGACCTTTAGAAGACATGCCACAATAGGATAGTTAATGCTTCCTCCAACTCTACTGACTCTCAAAGCTCAGAATATGACTTCATTGCCTACTTTGACATTTTTTCTTCCTGCTTCCAGGTTGTTTGTTTTTGTCTTGCTTAAAAATTTCCTACTGTGCCAGTTGTAAAAAGGTCAACTGATAGTTCACAATCCAGCAGAGGAGAAAAATCGTCAAAAATTAACACATTGACCACCATTTTGACCCTCACGTTCAGATTTTTTTGTTTTGTTTTGGGTCGTTAAATGAGAGTTGTAAAAGGGAACGCTGTATGCTAAAGGTCCAGGCCTGCTCAACGTACTAAAGCAAACATTCTCTTGTGCCCTTCAGGAATTTATAAGCTCATCCAATATCCTTGTGGCTGAGCATGATGATGCCTTTATTGAACACGTATGTACAGGTTGGATGTTTTTCTTTATGTGAGTCAGGGCAGCAAGATCAGGCATTTACACATAACATGCCAGATGCATTTTGCAATCAAGGCACTGTATAGGAAAATACTGAATACTCCCAAAGTTTATAAGGCATCATTTATTTCTCAAGTTATGATTAATGAGGCAGTAATCAGGTAGGTTATGCTTGATTTAGAAATGTATGCCATAACTTTGATTGCTGCTGGCTCACACATTAATGGACATACATATTTTGGTGGTAAACAAAGGCCTTAACATTATTATTTTTAATACATACATCACAAAAAAGTCAGGTAACTCTTGCTACACCAATCTTTGCTACTGTATCCTTGCACAACTGGGGCACTAAGCATTCCATCTGTCGTAGGGACAGAGTCATTACGGTTATTAAACCCCATTTTAGCAAGATTTTTCTCCATGGCCATGATCATCTCATGGGAGGAAAGCCTTCTATGGTGCAGCTTCTTTGCTGGCTATAAAAGACTTTAGCCATTTGGAGGTAAAAGAGAACCTTTGGTCTGATATTGATCTGATATTGTGAGCTAAGCAGAACATAAACTTTGTGAGTTCAAGTAGTATGAATGGAACAAAACTTTTCAAAGTTTCTTTAAATTCAAAATTCGAAGTTTAATTTTGCCGACATTATTTGATATTAATATACAGAAGTCAGTTTGTATTCTCATTTCAGCTAGTGTAACTCCTTTGACTTCAGTGGATTCACTCCAGATTTTCACCAGGGTAACAGATAGCACAATGTAACATAGTGGTTTTTACTTTTAAATCTGAGTTTAAATCAGAATTCCCAAGTTCAGGAAATATTGCCCATTTTCTGTGCTGATCTTAGGTCCAAGTATTGAGATAGTCTGAATTCAGATGCATACTAAAATGTAAATGGCTAGCTCAGTCCTTTTCCATCTGCCCATGTGGTCTGTAGAGATATGGATATACTACCAAAGTTCCTACTTTAAGTCAGCAGTGGCCACTATGATAGTCTGAGCTATAGAAGTGCCTAGGGAGAATGCTGGTCTGATGTTCGGGGAGGATCATTTCTCCCAATCGCTGGTGAGCTCCCCCTTCATAAATCCCATTTTCTATGGATTTGCAAAAGAAACAGAAATGTAGACCCTAATGAGATATGACCGCCATTTTTTAAAATCTATTATTATTACATAACATACATGATGCTCTGTACCTGGCATAATATCACACCAATTAGCACACAGTGAATCACAGTAAGTTCAGTCGGGGTCATAAAAATGCTTTTTTATGCCATGAAGGTTTTTTGTTTTTTTTATTGCCAGTGGATTTTTTTCTCCCATTAAGTTAAGTTTAAATCATGACCACCCTCTGAGGGTCTGGGGTTTAAATTCCAGAATGCTAGGCTTTTAAAAATGCTGGAACAGTGGCACTAATTTTTCAGTCTTGGTTGCCTAAAGCGAGGCACCTCAGTAAGTTGCCTGATTGTCAGAAATGCTGAATACCCACAGTTCCCTCTGACTACATTGGGAGTAAAGAGCATACATCACCCCTGAAAAATCAGGCAATTTATTACTATTATTTATATTACAGTAGTATCCAAGGGCCCCAATCAGATCTGAGCCCCTTGTGCTGTGCACTGTACAGACATACAGGAAGAGAAACAATCCCCGCTCCAAGGGCCTGACAATCTAAAATAGAGATTTTAAATTAAGATAAGATGCAGCCAAGTTGATGCAACAAACAAGCAGGAGGAACAAGGGAAGACAAGCGTTAATGACAGGTGCTTAACTCCAGGCAACCAATTTGGAAAATTTTGGCCAATGACATTAGTCTCTTGAATTGTAAACAGCTACAAAGCGCAACAACATTTTCTGTCTTATATGTTTGTGCAAATATTTCAACCCCTGACAGCTCTGAGTTTGAGCTGATGCTGAAGAGTACATATTACTTGATGCCTATGGCAACTGTTGTTGCAGCAGGGAAATTATGCCAACCCCTGCAGTGCACTTCATATGTGGTAAATTCACTTAACAGCAATTTAGAAGATGACACCCTGGTGCTATGCCAGTTTGAGCCAGATGGTCACTGAGATTATTAAAATAATGCATGTTGCAAAAACCTCTGAAAAATTGCACTGTTACAAAGTTTACTAGCATGGTGGGGATCCTAATAAAAACAATCCGCTTATATATCAAAATAGTATTTGCAGACAATGCACAGTATGATTCTCCACTGTTTAATGATAATTTCCCCTCTTGCATCTTTTAGGTTCAACTAATCCACTATAATCATGAGTTGTATACAAATGTCACAGAGGCTGCAAAAAGTCCCAATGGCTTGGTGGTAGTTTCTATATTTATGAAAGTAAGTATTTCAATTTCATAAATATTATCTAATGTTTAAATTACTGAGATTTTGCCGTGAACAGAATTTTAGAATTAGCACTAGTCATCATCATTTGTATTCTGTCCGCACCTGTTGCTTCAGTCAGAAGTCAAGAGACCCCATTGCACTAGGCACTGTACCCTCATAATGAAAGAGACTGTCCCTGCTCCACAGAGCCTGCAGTCTAATGGGGAAAACACACCAGGTGGGAGAAAAACAGTTTTGTGGGGAGGACAAGATACAGTTAAACTAACATATTTGATACAATAAACAGCAGCTATAGCAGTTTATAGTTTCATGTTAAAATGCTCAGAGAAGTTATTAATTCTGCAAATTTGAGGTGTCCTGAAGAGATGCAAAAGTGAGTATATAATTAAAATGAACCCCTTTCTCATGGGGGTGAGGAGTGGGGAGAGAGGACAATTGCATTTTAGAGGAGTGGTGACTGGTTATAAATCAAGAAATGAGTTTCCCTACCAATGTCATTTAAAACACCCTAGATTATCAAAACTGAAAGAATGTTGAAAATCTAGTTGTCTTTTACTTATTTGCATTTCAGACAGGTAGAAGACCATATGATTATCTATTAACCTTCATACCAGACATACCCTGTACACTCCTCTACATCTATTGTTAATACTCAGAGCTCACAGTTTATTCAAACACTTCAGAATCCTCTTCTCCTCTTATTGCATCCTTGCAGCAATACATGTGTTATACCATTGTGTATCCTCCACCTTGCCTTAGTAACTGTTTTGCAAAACATTAGCTGCTCCTTCTAGGGGAACAATGCTCTGATTTACTCTGCACCTCAAAGTATCTAGCCAATGTCCTCAGAAATTAGATAGTCAGTTTAAAAAAAAATCCCTTTTAGTATACTCGGATATAAATTTAGAAGGATCAAGCCTTCTGTCAAAATAGCAACCTCATAACTCAAATATCTATTTCACCAGTTATCTTGGAAAGTTGGACCTCCTTGCTGCCTTTTGTATAGCTCTAATATTTGAGGTATTTGTCAGAAAGCTCTTCAGGTTATCTCTTTCCTCCCTGTTATATTGTACTGTTCGGCGAGCCCAGTGAGTTAACTGTAGTTCGTGCAAAGGGATAGAATTGATGTATCTCCTGGATACTGCCCACAATTTTCAGTTCTGTGTGAATAACTTCATCATTCCTGTGTACTGCTTTAGGTGCACTCCTAATGTAATGAATAACCCCAAGTGTAGAACCTGATTTGTAGTTTCCCTTCACACAGATACTTGGGTCTTTGTCTTCCATATATAGTGACAGTGCATGTTTTGTTTGGAATGTCTGAGTCAGTGTAAATCATTCCCTGAAATAATTGTGCATCAAAATAGACACAGTGTTTGATGGCCACTGAACACAGCTGTTACCTACTGCCAAATATTTCAGTATGTTTAAATGTTGAGGGGTAAAAAAAAATTTCACAGATAAAAGCACTGAACGCACCAGATCCTGTTCCATCTACCACTCGATCAGTCATGGCTCTGGCCACCTCCTGATATTGGGGGATGAGCTGATTCTGGGGAGAATCCCCCTGCTTGTTCCATGGGGAGGAGAGAAAACAATCTGAGGAAACAACTACAAGGATTTCAGAGGTTTCCTGTCCCTCAAATGGTGAGGATCCAGAACAGAACTTTCGCAATGCTTGGGGGCCATTTGGAGGCGGGATTCCGGTTCAGACCCATAATGGTTATATTACACATTTTATGACATTTCCAAGCCTCACAATAAAAGTGTTTTGAAACCTGCATATGTCACAGCAGTATTCATCCAATTGCTAAGAAACATACTGTAGCCCAGACAGGAGAGGATAGCAGAGAGAATTGATTAGAGTACCAGGAGGCCAGGTACAGAACCAACCAAGATACATAAATGTGTTGTACAAATAGGACTTTAGAGGGCATGGCCTAAGTGACACCACCACTTGTTAGCTCTGCCACTTACAGTGCAATAAAATATCCCAGGATGAATAGCAAAAATAAAATGCTAATACATGTAATATTCTGCATACAACCTTCCACAGTATGCAGTTCACTCAGTCAGACTTCCCTTGCAGTCCGCATAGCCTGGTGTTGGGAATCTCACAGATAACATATAATTCTAAATAAAGATAAAAAGTGACTAGAAATAGATACAACAGAGAGAGGAGGAGACCGGTGCATGAGGTCTGAAATAGGAGATATAAGAGATGTCACATGATAGGACACTGAATATTCTATGAGAGAATACCAAGAAGTGTGCTAATCACCCATAAATCCACCCAATTCAATTATGATGAGATCGAGACTCTATTTCACATTTTTATCCATGTGTCAATTTTTCCTTCTATTTTCCATTGAATTTATATTTAGATGCAAACTTTCTAACCACTTCTGTTAGAGACATACCCATCTATAGTTGATTATGCCTCTCCCCGCAAAAGCCCTGCAAAGCAATCACGTATCTGCCTTTTTTCCCATACTTTTCTCTCTATATATACACACATACACACACAGACACAAGCTATATTTTCCTGAAAGGTGAGGCTTGTGGTAACAAAGTTTTTGACATTATTCATTTTTCTCCTTTAGGTGTCTGAATCATCAAATCCATTTCTAAATCGCATGCTAAACAGAGACACCATAACAAGAATAACATATAAAAGTAAGTTTCTTTTTATTCACCATGACTATCAGCTGCATGTAGTTCATGTAAACGCATATATTTAGTGAATCACAGGATGTGAGGGACATCTAGTAACGAACAAAAGCTACAAGGTTTGTATTGCCAGTTATCATTTCCAGCTGACCTGGGGATAAATTTGGGGACATAATATTATCAAAGAACCTAGTAGAGCCATAAGTCCATATAATATATACTTGGAAGTTCAAAGCATATATTGTGTTTGAAAGAGCAATAAATTAAACTAAATTCAACAAATAAACATATACTATTTTTAAATGGGGAAAATGCATTTGTGTTAATAATGGAAGTTACATGTGGAACAGTGAATTATATCAGATCAGAACATATTTTAATTTACAAAATATTACCTAGTTTCTTGTTTCATGATCATGTTTTGTAACATGCAAGTGGGTATTTCCCATTTTATTCAATATTAAGCAATGGTTCCTTTTTATTAATTGTGTTTAAAAAGATGCTATTTCTACTGAATTGCTACTGCGTATAATGGTAGTAGTATGAAGATGTCATGAAAATAAGTATTGTACATTTGTTGTATGTGGAATGCATTTAAGTGAGAATGTTCAGTAATTCCATACCATTGAATGGAAAACTAAAGCTTAAATGTCAGCTAACAATGAAGGTAACTTTAAGGCAGGAAAATATAAAGATCTTGATTGAGCAAATGAAATCTCGTCTTTTGGAAATCCTAGCCCCATTTTGCTTTTGAAAACTGGGAGAATATGTAGTTCAGTGGTTAGCTAGGGGACTGGCAATCAAGACTCTTCTGTTCTATTCCCAGTTCTGTGACCTTGGGCAAGTTACTTAAGGTATCTGTGCCTCATCTTACCCATCTATAAAATTGAGTTTACCACCATTTACCTCACAAGGGGTTTGGATTACTTTTAAACCTTAAAGTCTGGCAAACCTCATTTGCTTTGGACTGAGCCTGAAACTCTCCAAGGCTCTCTGAAAAATCCATTAAACCTTGACAAGTTTCATATTTGTAACAAAACTTGCCTGATCTCAGGTTTCTCTGTGAAAGGCTTGGAAAATTTCCTTTAAATACATATTTACTATATGCATGCTGCCTGTTATAGGGTGGATCATGCCCGCCTATGGAAACCCGCTTTTTCCCTCCCCCACAGTGATTGCAACATTGAGAGAAAAAGATTAATATATTAAATTTCAGAAAGGGACCATTATGATCATCTAATCCAGTGGTGGGCAACCTGCGGTCAAGGTAATCTGCTAGCAGGCCACAAGACAGTTTGTTTACATTGACCGTCCATAGATACGGCCGCCCGCAGCTCCCAGTGGCCACGGTTTGCTATTCCCGGCCAACGGGAGCTGTGGGAAGCTGCGGCCAGCATGTCCCTGCAGCCTGTACCGCTTCCCTCAGCTCCCATTGGCCAGGAATGGCAAACCACGGCCACTGTGAGCTGCAGGCAACCGTGCCTGCGGACAGTCAATGTAAAAAAACTGTCCTGCGGCCTGCCAGCGGATTACCCTGGCAGGCCACGTCAGGGTGTGGCCCAATGGCCTGCAGGTTGCCCACCACTGATCTAATCTGACCTCTTGCATAGTACAGGCCATAGAATTTCACCCAGTAATTCCTACATCTTAAAATAGCATATATATTTTAGAATGACATCCAATCTTGAGGTAAAGACTTCAAGTGCTGGAGACTCCACCATATCCCTAGGTAAATTGTTCCAATAGTTAATTACTCTCTATTAAAAATATGCAACTTATTTCTTCTCCCCCTATAGGTACTTATGAAAATGAAAGAACCACAGGGCTCCCCTCACAATTTTTTCCCTCAGATCTTTCCCTCACTGGGTAGGATTTTCTCCCCACCCTTAGAGAAGTAGTAGGGGTTTGGGCCCAGTTCATAGATGGTCTGCTTTCCTTCCCCCAAATACCCTGGCAGACAGTACAGTTTCTTGGTAGCTAAAATGCTAGGGTTTCTCTCACCAGCCACTTCCCCTAGAATACCCTGAAGGGATAAATCACAGCACAGAAGTAGTTAAGGTATTAACTTTTCTGAGGATTCCCTATGGAGTGATAAGGAAGAGATGCGTGTTCCCCTTGCTGATTCTCCAAATCCCAAAGTATGGATTCCTGGGCCAGCAAACTGCTCTTCAGGTGTCAGACAGACATCTGGACTATGCCACAGAGGGAGCTCTTCCTCCTCTGTCACCCAAAATACTCCCCCCACCCAAATTCATGGGAGGGAAGCTGCTTCTGTCTAGAGTGTAGATACCATGTTCTTTAACCTTTCATTGATTGTTTTTCCTTTTCTTTTAAACCAAACCTTGAACTATGAAATCTGTTCCAATCACACTGAATTTAGGTCATGAGATGAGCCATGAATTTAAGGTGAAAATGCAAAACGTAGGTAGTTTTAGATTTCATAGTCTAATGTTATTGGACCCATTTTAAAATTTTAATTATGGTTAACATTGACCCACATAGCTGTTAAAATCAAGCCCTAAATAGATACACACAGTGCACAATGTGCCGCTGCAATACATTGAGCTTACTTTCCGCAGTAACAAGTATTGATTAGAAGTGTTTTTAGTGCAAATTGGGAATGTGAAAAAGTTATTGAAAGTAATTCTAAAGTTGCCTTGGGTGATGGATTATAGTGTCATTGCTGAAAAAATAATTTTACTTCATATATTACAAGGATTTCTATACTGCATTTAACAGCTGGGATTTTTTTAACTTGCGCTTTAGGGAACCTCAGTGAATACTTGGTGTACTCTTAACAAAATGGCTAGTCCCAATTACTTCAGTGAGAGCATGGCCAGAATGACAAGTATAGATTGGGTCCAAAGTCAGGCGCACTGTAAGTAGGGCAGTTCAAGCAATGATTAAAAACGCAGTAAGAGATGTTTAGTCTGTTACATAATAAGCCCAAGGACAAAAATGTGTCAAAGGGGGAATTTGAAATGTAAGAAAATATTAATGGTTAAAATGGACGCAACAACCCCCCCCCCCTTGGAATTCCAAAGTGGATTTTAAATGCCTGTTTTATTCTTCTGCCAGTGGCTCAGCACAAAGAATTGGATTTGAGCAGGTTGAAATGACTGTTCTTTTAAATAGACTTAGTCAGGAACTATATGAATATCTCTAAAGAAAAATTGCTTTTATATTCATGTTTAAAGTAGGGCAACTGAGGGGCTGAAGGTGGTTTTCTTTTATTTTAAACCAGCAATATTGGTTTTTAAAACTGAAATATGCCACGTTGGTTTACGCTTTTGCTGGTAGAGGAGCCCACACTTCACTTAATGTTGGATAAAAACAGCACTTTAGCTTCCAAGGAATCTGTGCAGAAATTTGGGCTTCATGTGTTGCACCAGAATTGCTGCCAAGAAGCCATCTGAAAGGGAAAAGATGTTGAATTTTGGACTTACTTCCTTACATTTAATGCTTAACACTTAACTGCCTCACAGGGGAACATACGAATAAGTATCCCAATCTCAGATTCAGCCAAGAGAATTTATAGCCAAATTTATGGACATAGTCTCAAATTTCAGGAGCTTCTGTTTTTGGACTTCAACTTGGCTTCCAACTTTAGACACCAAGGACCTGACTATCAGACGTGCTGAGCTCTCAAAGCTCCAAGCATAAGCGGTGGGAGCTATGGATGCTCGGCATCTCTGAAAATCAGGTCCTCGGTGTCTAAAGATGGGCATCCAAAATTAGAGGCCACTTTTCTCAATCTGGGCATAAGTAATTTGTCCAAGGCAACAGGTGGAAACACTCAGAGCTACAATTAAAACTTGGAACCACTTAGTTTCCTATCCTCTTCCTAATCTCTAGACCGTGCCTTTCTCCTATTGGATTATTGTTTATGTACTTGGTTTTACCTCAGCACCGGGAGCTGAACGACATGACCTCTTGAAGTCCCTTCCAGCCCTACATTTCTATGATTCCATATTATGAACCGAGAAGATCCAATGCGATAGAGTCGTTTTTAAACACTATATTCTCTGTAAAATATCACTATTTCAATATTTGAACCCTAATTATCCAGCCTCAGAAGCCCTCCCATTGAAGTCAATGGGAGTTTGCCACTGACAGCACTGGGATTAGGTTCTACCATTTTAGCATGTTGCATTTTTAATTTCATAAAGCAAAGTATGTGGCTTAAGTAGTTTCTTAAAGAGGGCTAATTTTGTTATGTGTGGTTCTTGCTATGAAGGGGGGGAAATTAGGAAAATCAGTGTAACAAATGCAGAGAAAAGGATGAGAATTTCAACATCCGTAAAGAAAATTGTCTGAGTCGAGACCTTTATGTAAATTAATGTGAAAGCTAATGAAATGTAATTTGTGTAGAGAAAAGTTCACGGGTTCAGAAATTATCCTGAGACATAAGCAGCTCAAGATGAACAGAATGTGGATTGCAGATAGGAATGATGCTTAGAGTTTAGCAAAATCTGAAAATGGTTATTAAAGAAGGATATTGACAAAGTATGCAGAGAAGCCTCACCCAGAATAACTTTGAATATTATGAAGTTTATACCTTCAATAGAAATCATACATTTAAAAAGACATCACATTCAAGGGTGACAGTCTATTACTATTGAAAATGCAAGATTTCTACTAGAAAAAAACTTGACTCAGATATGGAAAAATGGGAATGGGTGGGAAAGATAGTGGTGGTTCAAGGCAAAGGTTGGTAATAAGGTGCCACATCCTGTAGGCTTTTCTCGGTGGAGTCTGCCTATTTTCAGTATGAGTTTGGACTAAATAAGGACCCAGCTCAATATTTGCTTTTATTGGGCTACAATATAAATTAATGGCGATATCCTATCTCCTAGAACTAGAAGGGACCTTGAAAGGTCATTGAGTCCAGCCCCCTGCCTTCACTAGCAGGACCAAGTACTGATTTTGCCCCAGATCCCTAATATTTTCTTCCACCTCTTCATTACCCTTTTCATCCCTTTCCAGGGTCACATTAAGATGGTGAGAGAAACTCTACCTCTTCTGTCATTCCCATGAATTGCTATTTGTCTGTAGTATGCAATGTTCACTTTCTTGCCATAAACATGCTTCAGCTGAAAACAGATGCAATGGACCCAGTTCATCCCAGGTGTGGCTCCATTGCTCAGAGTCTCAAGTGGAAAAAATAGACCACAACTTAAACATAATTCATCCTAAACATCAATGTGGGCAAATAGCTCTCAGGTCAACTGAATACTGGTCAGCCCCAAAGAATCAGATTACATCTTGTGGGGCCCTCAGACTCAAACAAGGTAATAATATAGGTCCTGATCCAGAGGCCAGTAAAGCCAGTGGGAGTCTTTCCATTGACTTCAATAAGCTTTGCATCAGACTCAAACCCCAAGGTTTTTTTTCCCTCTGGGCCCCACAAGCTGGTAGATAGCTCACTTCTAATCCTGTTTACATGAATTCAGGATGTCACCCAGGTCAGGCTTCATCTGTGGTGGAGTGTTTAAGCTCTTACTTCCACTCCATATTCCTACCCACCTCTGTGCCTGGTTTTTGATGGTCTAAACCCAATCCTCACATGCTCAGTTGGTTGCTCCTGCTAATCTCAGCCTTGTGACTTCCACTTAAAGCTCGGTTGTTTATTTCTTGGATGAGATATGCAGAGCACTATTATTTTATAACTGCAGTTCAAATCTGTGGAGTTATTAGTAACCCAAATGGTACTTACTGAGTGCATTACATCACAGTAAGCAAAGAGATCTAAGAGTGGGAGAGAGGCACACCAGGAGATACATTGCAAATGATTTAGGAAATAAATGGTGCTTGACTCCTGCAAAGGTACTCAAGGGAGCAGAAAGCCCAAGGATCCCCTGTTCCCCATTCAGAGGTATATCATAGAGGGAGTCCTTGCATTCAGGAAATGCACTGACTCTACAGCAAGTTCTACCCTATGCAAAGGGGGCCAGGTCTAGTTCCTACAATTCTACACCAGAGATGTGAATAACTGCTGCACTCTCCCCAAGGGTATTGCATCATCAGCCAGGCTCTTCTTGTGTTGCCAGAGGTTCTGCCAGAAACACATGGTTTCTTGGACCTTGCACTACAGTGGGGGTGCCCCCACAATGGCTCAGTACAGCCCTTTGTTACATGCCTCAGTCCTGCCCTAGATCATGACAACTGCTGTCTGAGGGGACTGAACAGTGCCACTTACACAGGTTAAAAATCCACATTAAGAATAATGGGCTAAATTCACCATTGGCATAAACAGGGGCAATGCCACTGAAACAAGTAGAGTTTCCTGCATTTATACCAACAACTGCATGTCTTCTATGTGATACCTTGCTGTATTGCTTCTAGCCTAATTTTCGTAGTGCCCATCTATAGTAGAGCAGGTGAAATAAAAGAGATGTGACCCCAAAAAAGCCATAAATTACCGACATCCCAGATCTTCACTAATTTCTTAGGTTGGCTTTTAGTCTCCTGGTAGACACTTCAGAGAAAATTATGCTCTCGTTTAAACCGTTGCAAACCCATTGAAGTTGATATGGATGTCAGTAAGAGAATTTGGCCCTTGGAGTTTGAAACTATCTATTCTTACTGATCCCCTGCCATTTAGAATGAACATACCCGTCTCCCTGGTTTATAAATAATTAGAAGGATGTTCATGTGGGGAAAAGAGGTGTGTAACGACTCGTACAAAACAATCACTGGCATGAAAAAAATGCATTCCATGCTCACTAATTCCAGCAAAATTATTGCTGCACTGCTAATTTTTTTTATTAATAGGGCGTAGGTGTATTCAGTCCTCTCTAGCTGTTAAAATTTAACACCATTCTGGCTCAGTAATGCAACAGCAATTGTTTAGCACTTTCATATGGAACATTTTTTGGCTTGGAAACACATTCAGAATCCCAGGCCTTTGGCCAATGGAAGTTGAACACGTTAACAAAGGTGATAGACTCAGTCACCTGGGTGAGAGTAACAATGTTTTCCACTCTATTAGTAGACCCCACAATTGATATATAGAACTGCATTCATATTGACTTCAAGTACAAAAAGGAGTGGGACTTCAGATTTCTCACAGCCAAGAAAATATACTGTGGAGACATCTTTCCTGAAATAATGAAGATTAAGTCTGAACAGATTTTAAATAGATAGCAGGCGTGATTCTTGTGTAACCCACTGGTGAGTGTGTCCAGTCTCTGCTCAATCACCGGTGGTTATGAATTATATAGTCCCAGCTAGGGAGACGTGACCGTTTAGTTAATGCTGTAGCAACTCATGCATTTAGCTCACTAAATCCCCAGTGTGCTGGTCAAGATAGCAGCCATCACATTTGTATTCCGTGGGCACTCCAACCATCTACTGCCTGAGACAGGCATTTGTGATGCAAAAAGGTCTTTTTTTTCCCCTCACACACAACACAGAACATGTATTTTGCCTTATCCTTTAGCAACAATCTCTCAAATGGAGATGAAATATCACATTTTTAAGCGCTTGCATGCTTCCTTGATCATTGCAACTTTTCTGCTTTCTTTTTGGAAGGTAGGAGAGGGAAATAGGGGGGAAAAGTGGAGGTTGTTTGTTAACTGTGCAATACCATGAATGTTGATCAATGACATTTTATGTAAATATTGTTGTAAATGAGGATATTCAAACAATAGGTACAGACTTTATTATACTAGTGACACAAAGTAGAGCATGAATAAAGTAAGTTGATATACTTCATGACACCTGGAGAAATGTGGCTTATATGATACACACGTACTGCAACTGAATCAGTCAAAGACTCAAGTCATTTACTTCCATTATGGTCAAGTATGTGAAGACTCACTTTCATGGCTATTTCTGCTGCTGTCCTAGAAAAGAGTGTAACTGGTGAAACGAAGTAACTGCCTGACTTGTCAGCTGTTTAAGGGGAAGCCATCTACACTGAATACTTTGGCTAATAAAAGCTAACATTTAGCATGAATTTCATAACTTTCTTAAAAGTGAACAAAAATATATTTACAATCTCAAAAACTCTTCCCCCTTTTTTCTTTTTCAATAGCTTGTCTTAAAGATGTATTGATTGTAAATTAATTGCTCATTAACATGTGGTTTTTATTCTAGTTAAGTTTACAATAAATGTTGCATGGGAAACTTCAGATAAACTCAGTGGAAAGTCATGACCATTCTGATATAGATTAGAATTGATGTGCTTTAGACTGAGGTCTCTAGTCTATGAGCAGGAATCTTAGCATTTGATTTCCACTGCACTTGCTTCCATATCTCCCCATCAATGTCAATGGCAGGTCCTTTCATTTACTGAAAGGAGAAGAAATGTGCTTAGTTGGCAGCATGGTAGCGCACCTTCCTTGCCCACATAGTATTTGCTTAACTAATGAACCATACCAAACACACTACATGCAATTGAAAGCAGCCACTGAGATTTCACAATTACTTCATCTTACCAGCCCAGCTCCCCCAGTGATGCATCATATTGGTAGAGGAGACAGCTGAAGAGTTTAAATGTAAAGTACCCCAGCACAATATCCAGTAAGGAATTGTTTGAGTCTGAAATTCTGCAGAGAATCCTGGAAAATCAGGTTACAGCTTTGAAAGACTTGCAGAAAGCACTGCAGGGTTAGTGTTATGTAACAGCAATAATACATACAATATAGCAGGGGATGAGCAGCTTCGATGACTCTTAAAAGTTATATCCATTTCTAATTATATGCTGGCACATGTCCACACTCTGCAGTCGTCTACAAAGGGACACTTCATTAATACCAGAGAGGCTATGAAAAAAGTGGGAAGCCCAGTAAGTTTCTTTACAGCATATTTTCTCACCTCTGACTTGAGCATTCTGAGTTTATACTGCATCCACTCCCACTGTGCCCACTAAAGGACAGCAGGCTTCATTGAGCAGCTATATCATCAGACATTAACCTTAACAAGACAGAACAATCTTCTCTCTCAAACAAGGGTAATTAAGCTTTAGCACTCTTGGCCTTCCCAAGGTTTTGTTGAGCAAAAATTGTTCATCACTCCAAAAATATGGTAAGTCGGCATTCTCCAAAGACTGATGCATCCAAATCAATAAATACAACTTCAACCAGCTTTAAACCCAAATACCTAAAACGGGGCCAAATAAATTCTCACTGCAAATGCTTGTGCTAGACTCCCAGTGAAGTCAACAGAACCTGTGAGCAAGCATCTAAGGGCAAAGTTACTATATTAAAATAATAATATCTGTTAATGTCCATGTGTTGAACAATCAATTTGTACAGAGCACAATGTATATTCATTTGACCTTCTGTTTCAGTAAATCTAAGGTTGAGGTTCTAAAGTAAAAGGCATGTGCAACGTTTGTCTTGTGAAAATATTGCTTGATCTAGATCATTTTCCACCTTTATTCTCTAGATGATGCATACTTACTGCAGGGACTTAATATTGAGGAACTTTATCCTGAGACCTCTAGTTTCATTACATATGATGGGTCCATGACCATTCCACCCTGCTATGAAACAGCAAGTTGGATAATAATGAACAAACCTGTCTACATAACAAGGATGCAGGTAAACTAAAACGAACATAATGGATTTAGTAAATGTCATCAGAAGAATAAATATTTTAAATGTATATCTTCATAGCATCATATTTGAAATTGTTTCTCTTTGGTTTAGTGCAATACTGTATCTTAAAACCATGTGTAGAAATTACAAAACAAACAAGGGGGTGCTAGAATAACTAAAAAATACCCACGCGCAGAAGCATAATTGGGACCCTCCTACACTAGGTTAGAAAAGACTAAGAACATTAGAAGAGTGAGGATTGTGGTCTCATGAGGGATTGTGGAAGCCAGTTTATGCAGTGGGACTGGAGCTAGGACAAAAAGCCTTTGGGGAAGGCTCCAATCTACATTTTCTGGTGCAGAAAAAAGGTGGCAGGATTGATGCCAGCATGTGTGCGTCAAAAATTTGGAAGAAAGGCCTTTGGTTCCAGAGTGACATATTGAGGGCTACTGTTAGGTAGCAGCAGCAGAGAGCAAGCAGTAGGAGCTAGATTCATTCCATTGTGTTGGCCACCCGGGGACCACATTGGTGGAAAAGCCACAACAACGGGGTCTTTGCAGCACAGTTCAGTTGCTTTCAACCCCCACTGAGAGTGCCACAGACAGCAGATCCTCAAGCGTGGGTGCCTGGGAAATGGGGCATCAAAGGGTGGCAGCCTCTGGCAGCAGGCTGCAGCACTACAAGTGCACCTGTGTCACTTTCCCTTCTCAGGGTAACCCAAGAGCTCCACTTCAGGCTCTCTTGCTTAAAAAATATCCCATAGCTCTAACAGTCTGTAACAAAAGTCCCAAAACATAGTCCATATCATCCCCAGTCCACGTTATCCTTAAAACCCCCTTCTTCCCAGCAGGAAAACCACCAAAGCCACCCCCAGCCTCTCTGCTTGGAGTGCATCCTCATCATATTCTAGGGTCTCTTTCACCTTCCAGCCCTGGCTCTCTGGCTTGCAGAGGTCAGCTGGTGAACCCCATTTTCTGCGCTCCTGCCTTCAGTATCTCCCCATCCCACAGGAAACACCTTCCGACTCTGGCAACTCTCACTCAGGCAGTTCTGATTCACTGGGTCTCCCTCTCTCAGATTCTGCCTGGTCCTTTCTATTCCCCAGATTCTGCCCTGCCCTCTTAATTGGCCAAATGGGAGCCTATTCTGGCACAGAGCACTGGACCTATTTAATCTACTGGGGCCAGCCACGGGATGCACTGATTCACCTCATCCCCAGTATATCCTCCATTAGTGAGAATCCTAAGAGCCCTAAGCAGATCTTAGAGCTGTTTTCTCACCTCACCCCAGAGTACAGCAGCTCTAGCTAACACAGCAGAAGTTATCTAGTCCAAAGAATGAAATAAAGGATGAGAAATCAGGGCTCAAAAAAATCACATTGGGGCTTCAAGTCCTGTCATCTTTGTCAATAAGATGCTATAGAAAGCATGCAATGTATTTTAACTGCATTGTATTAATTCTGTCCAACTGTGCATGGGTTTGGGGAATACAGTTTGTTGTTCTATTCTAAATGGGTAGAGTAATTTAGGGGACACAGTTGAGGAAAAAACGGGTACATATCATACATACTAAACTTCCCAATAAACGTGCATGTTTTCTACAAGAAATATTTTTGTTACATTATTACGATAATGCAAATTGTTTAGTAGAAAACGAAGATCAGAATGTTTCTATAGCCTACACTAGTACTCAAAGGACATCATCTCATGATAGCTGCTCCTTGTCAGGCTTTACTGGTTAGATGCATACTACCATATTAGTACTGCAAATTGATTTAATGGAATACATACTAATTATACAGTATACTCAGACTTGAGAACTGATGCAAGACAGAAGATTTCCCTTGTAGTCATTAGCACATCTACAACATGCAAAACACACCTACAGGTATAGTTCTCTTCAAAACTCTCCAAGCTCATTAGATTCCCCCACTTTCCCACTGCTCTAACTAATGAGGTAGCCACCAGGAGGAAATGGATAAATGCCCTTTAACCCTTAGATTGCCACTTCAAAAGTCATCGTAGACAGATAGCTGTTTGGTTGCTTGCAATCCAGCTGCTAGTAAACATTTGCCCACCCTACAAATACCACCTTCACAATTGACCATTTTGTTAGTAGTCATGATAGGTAAAGACTGTCCCATAAAGACAGGTTTCAGAGTAGCAGCTGTGTTCGTCCGTATTCGCAAAAAGAACAGGAGTACTTGTGGCGCCTTAGAGACTAAATAAATAAATAAATAATTGTTAGGCTCTAAGGCGCCACAAGTACTCCTGTTCTTTTTATCCCATAAAGGAGTCCCAGGTCAGGGCCAAAGGAGGGCAATGTAGGGATGATTGCACTGGTGTTGACCCAGGTAGATCTTTCAGTGAATAGAGAAGATTTCAGTCTCCAAGACTGTCAAGTCCCATGCCTTCCAGAAGCACTGACTTCTTTAAAAATACAGATGTGGTGCCAATCAGTCTCAGCATTCAGATTTCTGAGGCATAACCAATACTTGGGCACTTTCACCCAGAGCTGTCTTCTCAATAGCAAGCCAGAGTAGTTACCATAACATCTTTGGGCAATTTTCTCTCATCATTCATCAAATTCCCTTTCTCTGCACCTGCTGCCACTATCTAGTACTATGGATTCCATTTACTTTCTGGTCAGCCAAAGCTCCCTTGTGCCATTTCCATTTATTCTGCACAAAACTGGAGGCTTTGTTTACAACGGGGCTTAGAGAAACAGGATCATGACCACAAAAGGAATGGTTTTGTCTTTACTTAAAGGTATCCCAGTTGCCCATGGGTCTAAAAATATGTTTAGTGTAGACTAGGGTGACCAGATGTCCCGATTGTATAGGGACAGTCCCGATTTTTGGGTCTTTTTCTCATATAGGCTTCTATTACCCCTCTCCTCCCCCTCCCCCCGTCCCGATTTTTCACATTTGCTGTCTGGTCACCCTAGTATAGTGAACCTCTGTCAACCCTCCCCAAATTCCAAATCACAAAAATATTGTTAGAATACTTTGCATATGATGATTAATCTAAATAGCTTTCAATATTGTTTACTTAGAGTGAAGAATAATACTACAGGTTCTTGTTTTGTGTTTTGTATAGATGCATTCTTTACGACTGCTAAGCCAGAATCAGCCATCACAGATATTTCTGAGCATGAGTGACAATTTCAGACCAGTCCAGCCTCTCAACAATCGATGTATCCGAACTAATATCAATTTTAGTTTACAGGGTAAAGATTGTCCAAACAACAGAGCACAGAAACTACAGTATAGAGGTAGGTTTTACACAAGGCACTCTCCAGAACAATAATGTCTACACCTATGTAGAGCTCCTTTCCTCTGAGGATCCTTGTTTGATTTACATGTTGTTGTTTTAGTAGCGGTGTATGATGGGACATATAAAAGCGAATCAATATATAAATAGGTGGGATAGGATCTGAATGTAAGTGTCAGATTTCAGCTATCAAGTTTAGAATATCTGAAATCTGAGAAGTTTTGCAATGATACACAGCATCATAACATCCCACTCCAATTTATGATAATAGGATAATTTGTAGGTGTAAGTTGTTTTCTTGAAAAAGAGGTATGGCACGTGCCAATGAGAATCAAAACATAATTGTGCTAGGAATAGCCCCACACTGCAGATTCTGATATAAAGTGGAGTAAAATAATATGCCATATGACAATTGAAGGAAATAAAATGTATTTCTACTCTGAAAGGTAACTCCATAAAATTAGTAATGTAAGGTTCCACGCTGATTATCTCTGAGCTATTTCCAGAACTTATCTTCTCACTTTATAATTATGTTTTTTCCAGTTGCAAACTGATGATCTAGCTGGGTTCTCTTTAGTTTTCACAACATCAACAACAGACGCTGTGCATTTGGAACTCAGTTAACAATTTCTGTTCCTGCTGTTGCGTCCAGAATAGCATCCAACTCTCTCTCCCAGAGCTGTGTTGGCTCTGCGGAGATCATGGGAATAAACATTGGTAGAAATGGGGTAGTATTTAAAGTGAGCAGATATGATTTCACATATACTTAAGCAGCTCAACTGAGCAGTCACATGCCATTGTGGAGTTGAATCACACTAAAGAATTTGATTAAAAAAACACTATTTGAAAAATATCAGGAAGGCTGATAGTAGAGCTGGTCTCAAATGGGAAATTCAGGTTTCAGAAAGGAATGATTTCTCAGATATTCCAAATTTTTCAGTTTTCAGTTCATATTCCTCCCACCTCCCTTTTTTCTCTTTTCCACTGAAAAATGAGTGACAATGGGGAGGAAGGAGTAGAAAGGAAAAACAATTCTGAAAAAAGGCAAAAACATGACTAAATATTTCATTTTCCAATTAAAAAAATTATAATAATTTCCTATTGAAAGAGATATTTTCAACTAAATATTTTTCATTTAAAATTTTTTGACCAGCTCTAGTCTAGTGTTAAGACTAAGAGCCACATTCTCAATTCATAATTTTGAAATTACTCAACTATTTTCTACACAATACAAACATTGAAGGCACTTAATTTTTAAAAACAGCAATTTTATATTTGGTGTTTGGTAAAGTATAACTGTTATTACTTTTCTTTCAGTAAATGAATGGCTCCTCAAGTAATTAAGACAAACAGGAAGAACTCCTAACCTCAGTGGAATGCTACTACTGTGAATTGACATAATCTAGAATGCACCCAGCCTCATTCACTCTTTGGATTCATGACAGTATGTGCAAATGTGCTGCAAGAAAAAAGCTGCCAAGATGGAAACTTAACTAAAAATTCATTCATATGATTGATCGTAATAAAAAAAAGACAATAACTACAGTAAATGTGATTACAATTTTGATACAGTTTTCCTGAACTAATTTAACTTCACAAAGAAAGACTTTTCAGCCTTTGTACATATGAAATTCTTTCTTTCCTCCCCTTCAAAAGAAAAAAAATAAAAAAGAAAAAGGTGGCTCCGTACAGCATCAAAGTGGAGTTGTGTTCTGTGTGCCAAGTAATCCTTGGAAAGCTCTCATTATATCCCTATCATTAATGGATACTGACAAGACAGAACAAGAAGATTGTAGAGGAAACTTATTTCTAGGTTATGATCCTTCTGTTTATTTAATTAAAAAAAGGACAGACATTGAGAGATAAGTATTGTAAATATATCAACGCAGAATATAAAAGAAATTGAAATATATCCCCCTTTGTCACATATCTGTAGTAGGATTTGCCAAGATCAGAAATGATCCATTTTCTGTTTCTTGTTTTACAAAGGTCATACATTGTGTTTGGTTACTGTTAACAACTCAATAAATGTGTTGAACAAATTAATTTAGTACACTCGCTTTGGTTTATTTTTCCTTTCTGAAATGATAAGCCTCTAGCACTTGAGGCTGCTTTACTTTTCTTTTTTACTTTATTTGTTTGCAACCAGTTTAACTGAGTTAATGGCAATTAGGAATGTATTTAACAAAGCTAGTGTAACTTTAATTCCATTTTATGGTTCATCATTAAGAAGAATTAGGCTCCAGAAGCAGAAGGCAACTGAAAAATGGGCTAGTTTAAAATTACCATTTCCCCGGTTTGAGTCCATTATTGAGACATACAAATTCAACCTTGTAAATTGCTAGAAGGGATATATTTTCTTTACAGATGTAGCAGGAGCTGACCAAGTTAAAGCTAATGCCTTTTTTCTTGTTTATAATGGTCATTCACTGTGTTTGGTTACTGTCAAGAACTCAATAAATGTGTTTAACAAGTTCACGTGTGCATATTTTTGATGGTTTTGTATATTACCAATGTTAAAGTTGTCAAATCAGTTGGGTCCCAACTAACCAGGAATCATCCCTCTCTCTGTGATCTACCATGACAGCTGTGATTATAATGGGGATGTTGCAACTGATAGATCCAAAGGTGAAACTATCAGGGGCCAAGTATTCTTAGTTGGCTGAACCTGGGGTGTGGAATTCTCTATCACCAAAGATCAGGATCAGCCCAATTTTGCAGTCAGGGCATAGTGTAAGGTTTCTCTTTACACAGTCCTCCCCTCAATGACAACAGGACAGAACAGCTAGCAACATTTCTCCTGGAGATAAACAAGCAAGAAAAAAAAGCTGCTTTAAGAAAGTATCGTAAGTGGTTGAAGGGGGAGGAATATGGAGTGGATGGAACTGATGTTGGTGAAAGGTGCATTATAAATACATAGGCTAGATGCACATTATTGCTTAGCAACACTCAATTATATGGCGGTCAACATTTTGTTAGCTGTAGATTTGTGTGTATGTTCTCATCCTAAATTGAAAACATACACTGCAGTGTCAAAGTTTGTGAGTGCTGAAACCAGATAAAAATGTGAACACCTGGACTCAATGCGACCAATCATCATCGCTTTTGCAACCCCACTGACTTTAAATGTGATAAATTTATCCTGAGGCAGAAAAGGGCAGTGCCAATTGCAAGTGGCATTGGACAGAGAGCAACACACACGGCTGCATGTGGCACTGAGTGGCAGTTTGCCATCATTCCATAGTGCCACCTATTGTAAGTTACAGGCTGCTGCTGTCAGTACATCTGTGAAATTAATTGAAAAGACACTGTGGAAGTGAATGTTTACTGTTAGTAGTCATTGTCATTAGGAATCCAGCATGGGCTAGATCAGGAGAACCTGCAGGAAGCTATCTCATCTCCTTGGCACACTTGCACAAAGAGCATCCAGAATTCTGGTACTTGATATTAGGTGCAGGGAAATCAATCTCAAAGGAGTTGGGGGAGCTGGGCACAATGTCACGTGGCATGATAATGGCATGCTGCCTACTTGCAAGGTTAGGGGCAAACAAGAATGACTATCTCAGCCAGCTGGTGGTGCTGGTGCAGTATCCCACTAGCAGCTCGGAAGGGCCTGATCATCCATAGCCTATTCAAGTCCATGAGAGTCTTTCTATCGACTTCCGTGTGCTTTGCACCTAGCCCCTAATGCAAAGACTGATAAATCCACAGTCCAGCCATATAAATGCCAATTAAAGTTAGATTTATACTGTGTATTAATAAGGTCAAGTTCAACTGTTGAAATAAAAGCAAGATTACAGTTTTAGTCCTATGTAATTAGTAGTAATTGACAGTGCAATACAAAGCATAGATAATCTAATGCGGTTTCCTAGGCACTTCACTAAAAGTCACTGCACAGATAGATCTCCAATTTCAGTGTAAAAACTTTAATGGAATCAGTTTTGTGTTTGCTCTTTGAAGCCTAATCTTGGAACTGTTCTCCAGTTGCGGAGCAAAGTTTCTGGGAGTACAAAGTCCAAAAGGTTTCAATCTATATTTTGGACAAATAGCTGGCAGCTGTTCATCTGAGTTTGTCTGGTGACAGAAGGTAGGAAAGATAAGCCAGGTCTCCATTATGAAACTTTTAATAAGTAATAAAACCTTTTTGGTATTTCACCGAAAGCTAGTTGAGGGGATTTAAGAAAGAAGGAATGATATGATAGAAAAGGCTGGTCCCAGTGAGGATTCATGCTGTGCTTTGGATTAAGTGAAGCTGGTATAGAGAAGCCTTGCAAATAGAGAAATGCCGTAATCACACTGGGATATCGCAAATGCATTTGTCAACATTTCCAAATCCATTTTGCAAACTAATGAACTCCATCTCGGCAAGATTATTTTTTTTAAATGATAGAAATAGTAGACATAAGTCAAACTATGGCACATGATCATTTGTGAACTTTCATATCTGGATTCAAAAATCAGAGCAGCCCCTTATCGTGGGCCAAATCAAAACACTGAACTCCAATACCCACAAACATTGGGAACATATAGATCATGATTCCAATTTTGCAGCTTCTCTCTCCAAAGTCAAACAGAGCTGAGCATAGATACAGAATGTCATTATAGAGGCATAACCTGGCATGGAGTGTAACCCCCAATATCTATGGCCAATCAACAAGACCTGTAGATAGCAGTGCATTCTCAGGCCACAGTGATAAGAGACTGAAAGTGTTACATGAAAAACTGAAATGGCAGAGTGCTAAGCCAAAGCTCTGAGTTATATAAAAAAAAACATCCTACATAGATCAGATGCAGACTTGCTGATAGACCCCCCCACAGGGGAATGCTGAGAGAAGCGGGAATGCAACTTGGGTTGGGAAGCGCCATTGCAGTCTGCAGCCAAAGGGTCACACATGATCAGCAGCAAAAAAAAAAAAAAAAACCCCAACATCAGTCAGAGTTGGCATCATAGAACTTGGCAAGCACAGTCTTAGCGCTAGAGTATGGACAAGAGAGTCTGAATGGAGCTATACACATTAAATTAGCTTTTCCTCAACAGGATTTAAAAAAAAAAACCACACACAGCTTGGTTTTTCTAGCATTTTGGATGAACAGTGAGTTTCAGACTGGGAGACAGCTGATGTCTTCAATAAGGTCTGTCAAAGCAGTTCATGCCCACTGTAAACTAAAACGTCTTTATATCCTTCCTGTCCTATTAGCATGGATAGGACTCTTTCTGTCCGGAATGCAGTGTCTAACGTTATTCCCCTTCACATTAATGAGACCTCTCATCAATGCTGCTTAAATTAAAACTTAATGGAGTCTGTCCCTTTATGTGAGACATAAGACAAGCAGCAATGTCACTCTCGTGTAAATCAGAATCATGCCCATGCTGCAAAATTCTGACCAGGATTCTAAACATTCCATATTTTGTGAAGGTTTGGATCTGGGGTCTTGGGTGTACCCATTACAGATAATCTAATTTCTCTCTTTTTAGAAATCAGTTTAATCTAATCATGAACCTTAAAAGGCCTTAATCATAACCATACTTTTTTTGTTTACCACTACAGGGCAGAGTTAAGGTTGTTTAAATGCCTTAACTTTGCATTTCTTACCTTACCATGTTTGGATTTATTTTAAGGGTAACTGTTACTCCGGCTTTCCTGGGTTTATAATGATTGATTTGGGGATAATTACAACATCCCAATAATTTATTTTTACCCATAAATAACTGATCCACTTTTTTACCCTTACTTCCATCTTAATGTAGTTTTTACGGACATAGATATAAGGGCCAACGGAGACATTCAGCCTTGGATGCAGGTCCAGATTCCAAAGTGAACCAATGTTAAAACCAGGTTTAGATATGAGGTTTTGGCTCAGGCCCATCTCTATAATAAATTCAGAGTTAAGTAGCTTGTAAAGCTGAGCAAAAAGAAATTTAAACTGCAGTTTTTAGACACTATACCAAACTGTTTTATAAATTTTAAATGCAAGAAAACTACAGAAAAAGTAAGAGCCCAACATGTAGTACAGAGAAAAGGGAAAGCAGAGAACTATATTGAAAGATTAGCAGAATAAGGATGAACTCTGGGAAATTTACATCACAATTGGTTGTACTGTGTTTGTGTCGTCATTAACAGCAGAGAGGAAAGTAATGGGAAAGATACTAAAAACTGAAGTGATATTTCCAAAGCCTGGGGAATCAGAATCCATATGGAAATTTGCTAGTATTGATGTCTAAAGTTGGATTTAAAAATCAACGGGCCTAAAGGAGGAAAGTGAGATGGTACCATTTATGTCTCAGGTCTAAGCAAGTTTTTCCTCAATATTTCTTCATGCAGTTGGTCCATTTGAAAAGGGGAAAGATATGTCCCCCTCACCCTTTGGCACAAATAGTTTAGACAGCTGGCTTTAAAAACCAAACTCCCCATGCTCCAAAGCCTCCTGGATAACAGACCAGATTACCTTGGAGAAATAAGCAATTGCAAACTGCACACAAGAAAGAGGTGGTCCTGGGCATTTTCATAACCTGGACATCTCTACTGTATAGTCCTAGAGATTAGGTCAACATGAGAAGTTATTGGGAAAATTGCATATTAATTATTAAAATTGTTAAAAAACCCTATTTTGAGGATATATAAAGAGGGAATGAGAAAAAGACAGAAGCATGATGGAAAAGAAATGTTTGCAAAATACACTAGAGAATGTGCTAGAAACAAAGAGAAAGCAAAGCTCTCCTTTTCCCTCTCTCCTGTATTTCTGTTTTAATGACACAGTAATATAGCGGCAAGAGAAGTTGATTTCAGGTCTTGATTCCTTTCAGGCATAATTTGAAATTTGACAGTAATGAGGAACAACAACATTTGGTGCCAAAGTTTTGCCAGACTGATGGTCCTGTTCATTAAACATTTATGCTCTATGCCTGTGTTCCATGTACTGAAGACAAAACCACTGAAATGAAATTTCATCCAAGTGCTGCCCTCGCTCCTCTGATGAAGATGTTCAGTTGAAATGCTTGAATTAAAAACTAAAGCACTGACATTCTGTCAACTGATTTACAAGTGAACATTTCAACAGGGGTGGGTAGAGAGGCAGTTCTGTGAATTCCTCTCTTTAAAGAGTGCAAAATACAATCTCCCTTAAAGGCACCTTTACCAAAGGATAAAGACAGAGTCTGAATTCTGTGGGCAAGGATTTCAAATCATTCAAATGGCAAGTTACCAGCAGAATCTTGTAATTGGCATTCAAGATTGTTATGCATTTGTTATGCTTTTGCATTTCATTTCGCAGGAGGCTCATCTGCACAGACCAATGCCTGGGGCTTCAAGTCTGAAAGAAAACCAAGTCTCCCACAATCAGACTCTGCTTAGCCTGAGGAAACATGCCATCAAATAAAGCTAAGCTAGATGGATAGGCTGTTACGATGCCCCATGTCACCAGACTAAAAACCAGCAAAACAACATGGGCCAGTGAGATTCAGGTCTCACACTGCTGTA